CCTGGACCACCCGTTGGGAGCAGCATAAAATGGAACTCATCATGTGCGACGATTGGACTGATGGATCGGGGAAGCTTAAAAATCCGGGCAAAAGCTTTTTCCTGCGTCTGGCTGTTGCTGCAGTACGTGAAGTTAACGCACAGAGGGACGAAGAGGGCTTAACATATGCTAGGAAAGCGATGATCCGCACTGGGATGGCCTGTAACACAAACGGGCTGTGGGAGGAAAAGCAGCTGTTTCCCAATTTGCAAGCCATAATTGTGAAACATAGAAATCACTTCGATGGTGAACCTGTTTTTTGAAGGCGTCTGCTGACAGTAGTAAATCTATGATAAAGTGAAACACAATTTTACCGTTACTTTGGGGGCCCCTGACAGTGTGACTAATTATGTCGAACGGAATTAATGTAGGTGTCACTAAATACAGTTGTGAGTTATATAGTGAAACTACGGTTATTAGGGAAACATACACTAATATGTGTGATCTCTGTCCAAATGAACCTCACCCCTTTACTGTGCGTGTTACTATTTGCAGTAACTGGGTGTAGTAGTTTTTCTTGTCCTACTGCACGCGGGCCATCCATTTCGAGATGGCGTAGCGCACCGGTTGACATACCAACAAGGAAAAAGCTCTGAATTAGGTAGAGAATGACACGAAGTTCGATTCTCACCAAGATGTAAGGAATTTCATATCCTCGTTAGGAGTTCCAAAGCTGAGGCAGCCGAGGCAGCCCCCCAACAGAAATAAGCAAAACTTCCCATCCCACGGAAAAATGAATACTTTCTCTACTGCATTTTGGATCAAAACTCGCCCATATTCGGCGATCCTTGGATGTATGACAAGATGGATTACCTTGAACGAGTGCCATTTCTCTCCTTGCCCCCGCACCAATTAGCCAGGTCGAGACAAAAAACGGAATGCTACCTAGGCGCCTTCACGAGCTTTTGCCTTGCAGGTAGTGTTTCTAGACAGAGCCTCGCAATAAAGACACTACGATTCTCGCGTTTTTTAAGCCATAGTTTTCGAGGGTCAGCATACGGACCCTGCCTTTCCAAATTTTAGTTGCGCTTTCTAGCACTTCGAAACGCATGTGTGCTATCGGCTCATCTTGGGTAGTACGTACTACTTACTGTATTTGTTATCAAGTTCTCCTCTACATACTTCCTAGTATTTTCTACTATCTCAACGGCACAGAGACTTTTTGAAAACGAGGCCGTCTTGATTCGTGTTTACATTTAAGGAGTAAAAACTGCAGCCTAGATAATCCAATGTCTCTAATTCTTACTTTCAATTTCTTAAATGCCTACCTCATCCCACAACACAACATGGGATTTGAATGCACGATAAGCCCAAGACGACCGCTTAAAACACTTCAAAGCTCTTCGGGCGTATCAGTCCGTGCCGAAAAAGAAAAGATGACAATATGCTGTCCTTTTCGGAAAATAGTTCTCATTTTTTTGAAAACTTCTGCGCCCCCTCAGTTGACATGGTTTTGGTCTGGAATGGAAACGAGTGTCACTTGGGAACATTTGCATCGTCTTTTACAATCAACTCGCCCTCTTCTTCAACTGTACATAAATCAGGAGCTTCGTCATGAGTACGGTCTGTCACAGCACTCTCATTCCTCCACCAGACTTTCAATAGACTTTCAAAGAAGCATACAAACTCAAAACCAACTTAAATCACTATGGAAGGGTATACTACGTCCCGTAGCCAGGGCTCACACTCACATACCTCTGGAAGAGATTCCGATAGATTATCTGATTCTCGACGCGGGGAAGTCAACTGTCCTCAATGCAGGACTCGATTTACGTCACGAAATGATTTAGAATTTCACCAAATCACGACTCCCTTCTGTTCAAGATCTTCACAGGTGAACAACGTTGACGCTATCCCTAGTTCTAGAATCGAAAATTACAGGTCGACTGAACATCGTTCACGGCAGTTATCCAGCTCGGACCCACGATCTGGAGGAGACTTCGGTAGGTCATCATCACATATATCTGAAAGAGATTCCGATAGATCATCAGATTCTCGACGCGGGGAAGTCAACTGTCCTCAATGCAGGACTCGATTTACGTCACGAAGTGATTTAGAATTTCACCAAATCACGACTCCTTTCTGTTCAAGATCTTCACAGGTGAACAACGTTGACGCTATCCCAAGATCTAGAATCGAAAGTCACATGTCGACCGAACATCGTTCACGGCAGTTATCCAGCTCGGACCCACGATCTAGAGGAGACTTCGGTAGGTCATCATCACATATATCTGGAAGAGATTCCGATAGGTCATTTGGTTCTCGCCGGGGAGACGTCAAATGTCCTCAATGCAGGACTCGATTTAGGTCTCAAGGTGATTTAGAATTTCACCAGATGACGACTCCTTTCTGTTCAAGGTCTTCACAGGTGAACAACGTTGAAGCTATCCCAAGATCTAGAATCGAAAGTCACAGGTCGACTAAAAATCGTTCGGGGCAGGCATCGGGATCGTATCATACAGAGAAAAGAAGAGTGATTGATAAGAGGAGAAGTAAGCCACACACCTGCACACAGTGTACGTCAAGTTTCACTCATAAGTCGGGTCTGAATGAACATATTCGAGAATATCACGAGGAAGAAAAGACGTTCACATGCCCGACTTGTGGAATAACGTTTAGTCGAAGAACGTTTCTTCGGACGCATATCCAAGAAGTCCATGAAGCGGACGTAAGCTATAAGTGCAATCACTGCTCGTATACGGCAGGGACAAAGAAAAATGTTAGCAGGCACCTTCTAATGAGACACAAAATGAGGATGAAGGAAGGAGATTTCTCGAAAACGAGAAAGTAGTGTAGTCTTTTGAATAGGATGACATCACAGGTCAAAAATAGAAACATGTTTATGTGTAAAAGCTCACACTAATGACACCATCTTCAAGCTTGAAATAATAGGCAAGGTAATGACGTAGTGTATTGTTCCGTAGAAGCACAGAGGCAGTCATGGTACCTGTTGTGCGAGGTACTTGCATTTTTTCAGTCCAAAGTAGAAACCTCCAATTCAGCGTTGCGGCATGAATTGATTCCAAATTTCAATTTCCAATTTCCACAGCAGCAACTGTGATCACCAAAATGTGACCCCAGTGTTGGCGGAACACTTCCGTAGCGCGTTGCTATACTGAATACAGATTTCCTTCTGCCATAGTATCACATTGCACACTTTACGTTACCCCAACCTATACCATGGCAGCGACGGCCCTCCACAAAATCCACGCATCCCTCCCTTCTCTTTTTTTACGCTCCCCAACTCACCGTTCTCGTCTCCAAGCTCGCTCGCCCACGCCAAGTTTTCGTGATTGCATGTCAGTGCAGGCCAGGACTCAGCTCAATTGGTGATGGCACCTCACTCAAAAACCCTAACATGATTCCTGAAAAGATCGCCAAAGCGAAGCGTACGCGCCTTACGATTGCACAGAAAATCGAGGTTGGGCATCTGCTGCAGGTCAGGAATGCGAATACCACTGTTATGCGTCAGTTCAAAATTTCAGAGCGAACCATCCGAAACATCAAACGCTCTCTTCCTTCACTCCAACAAGTTGTGACCAACACCGCTACAACGCTCGGAATAAAAACGTTGCACCCTGCGCATCACCCCACTCTTGATGCCCACTTGATTGAGCCTAGTGCCAGAAGACGGCCTTGCAGAAACTGCAGAATTCTGCAGGAAAGATGTGGAGGAATGGATTGAGATCGAGACTAATGAGCTTATGGCAGAAGCCTCTACTAGTGATGCTTGCGATTCAATACATTATGGTGGAGAGCTACAGAATCAGTCTACCAGTGATGCTATGATGGATGATTGTGTGGCAGAAGACGAGTGTGAAATTACGGAGAGGCGGGCCGTACCGAGTGCTGTAGTGCTAGCAAGGTTGTTTGGGTCTTTGGAGAGTCTGGGTGTGGAATGCGATGTGAGCAATGCCTTATCGCACTTGAGGTCCGCAAAACGAGCTTTTCTAGAAGCTAGGCATGAGAGACAGGGTCAAAGGCAACAACAGCAGACTCTAATAACAGAGTTCTGGCCGGGTAGTGATTCTGCTTTCTGATTGTGCCGCTCCGAATTAGTGCCGTATTATTAGTCCTTAGAGAGGGCGGCACTAATGCGTAGGGTCGACTGTACTTAGTCTTTAATTTCAACCACGTCGTTCTGGGATACGGCCGACTGTCTGGCGCCGTTACTCGCGGCAGTGCACCTTGGCCCGTGTCAGAGATGTTTTTTCAAACTATTTTGCATGTCCGATTTTTTTGTCATTGTCCGACAACTCCAGCACCCCCTTTATGCAACTGTCTGCGGTACTGATTCTTGATAATCCTGCTTCACAGACGTCCAGGACTGTGACCGCCCCTGTCGTGCAATTGATGTATCTTTCTTGTCGGGAAAGCTTTTGTTGCGAGCACCAAAACCAGCCTGGTGTGTGCTACTCGCCCATAGCTGTGCGACTGCTTTTAACATGAAATGTAAAGGTCGAACCTCTTGAAAATGTACACGGTTGTCTATCCGTGAAATATGCCAAGGTGTCTGTCAGACCGCACAGGACAGTCTGTTCCTCAGAGTACATACTTAACGAGCGACGACGAGTATACGACGAGTCATCGGTTTCCAGTTCACACAGTGTCCTGCAATCGTAGTTACGCTTTGCGTTTCGTTTCTCAGGAACGACTGTGACCGTGCATATTACCTCTGTACCATCGTACAGTATACTCATCGGATAGGTCATTAGGCCGTAGCGCCGAGCTGCCAATGCTACCGGGTAGTGCACGGCAAGAGGCCCCCATGACATGGAGCCTTGTTCTCTCTTTATGGTGTCCTCGTACAATGGGGATTATAAAACTCATCATACTGTCATCTCGCAATTGCTCTGGTCCCTCAAGACACCTCCTTTCACGATGTACATAAAATTATATCTAACGTTTGTCAGCCCGAAAATAAATGAACACACAGATGATAAGCGGCAGGCTATCAGAGATTTTAGCAACTTTTTGTTTATTGCGGACAGCAGCGACTAGTTCTCAAGGATCAAAGTCACCAGAAGCGAAGACACTCTTCATAGCTATTCTCCAAGCGTCCGAGCTTCAGAAAGGGGGGATTCTCACTTCCAATGGGACACTTCTCAACTTAGCTTCAACCGCTGCTGACGACGGACAGATAGCATAAGTAGAAGTTCACAGCCAGAAAGGAAACTATTTCAGTAAGAGTCGTAGTGCTTCTTGTGATAGTACGGGTATCCATGGTGGTGCCTGCCCCGGTGTCCATGGTGGCGCCCGCCCCGGTGTCCATGGTGGCCCTTGTGCGGGTAATACGGGTAATACGAACGTCCCGCCACATCCATGTCTTCTGCAATGTCATTGTGCTCGGTGAGATCGCCTTCCATGGGAATCTCGTCCACGACGGAAGCGACTGCGCACAGAGCCAGAAGGGCCAAAAGGAAAAACGTTCCGATACGAATCATGGCAGCAAGGGCAAAATGTGAGGTATGAGCTTGCTGAAAGTCTCTTTGGTTCTTGTTTCAGTTAGAGAGAAAGCTGATGAGATGGGGCGACTGAGTTTGGTGAGGACTGGAACTGCTACTTTTATAGCATTGTAAATCGCCAAAATCTTCAAGAGTGTTCAACAGTTTCGAGTAGCAGTCACGAGTTTGATCAAGGAGCAGCAAAGCAAAACTGCTTCAAATGTTAGCTTTGCATCCTACGATAGCAAAATATTACCATACACAAGGCCGCTTCAACGTTTGCTTCTTGACAATTGTGAACTCAAGATTGCAATTAAATTAGGGGTGCCTCCTTGCGAAATCTTTTCATGATTGGTAGAGAAATGAATTGTGTTCGAGACAACTTGTCTGAACGTAAGAGACAAAATGGACTCTCCGTGATGTAAGATCTCGCACAAGATTTGTCGCGCACAAGATTTGTCGCGCACATGATAGAAGAATGCATGCCATTTCTACATGCTTCACTGTATATTTCACTATTACAATTTGCCGGTACAGCTGAACCTTCTCGTTATCTCCCCTTACTTGTCACTCTTTTCACTTAGAAGTACATGCGTTCATAAAAGCTCGCACTCTGGGATTGAAATCGTTTCTACGGTTGTCCAATATTGGAAGCTCCCCTCTCAACGAGAATATCCACGATTCGATAGCAAAGACATATTCGTGTACTTTATTTGGGTCCCAGGGAAACGAACAAGCTCAAACAAGGATAAGACATTATGGATGTCAACAATAAAAAGAAGTGAATCGAGGCATAAGAGAAATATCGCGTTTAAAATGAGATTTTGAAATATGGGTGCCATTGAATGAGCTATTGAGAGTACGGCTGGTGTCGCCTCTATCATAATATCTAATGATGAATACTTGCCCGTGGCTGAATGAAAAGTGCCTAGAATTAAAGAGCTAGAAAACAATATTATTCAACCGTGCCTGTCCGATCGGAAGCAGTGAATTCTCCAAGTCGCACTGTGTTCGACATGGGCAACAATACTTGTAGTGTGATAGGGAGTGTAGGAGAGACTCAAGACCCTGGGGTCGTCTTTACTGGGGACATGAGCGACGACGGTTTTAAGTACGGTGGGAGTGCTATGTACACGTGTAAGATACGACAGGGAGCGAAAGAAATATGATCATTGGAGATCTCTGTATTATGATATTATTATGATATTATTATGATATTATTATGATACTGTTGAAGTTGTCTCACGGCTGACAAAATTGTCGCCAAACGCAACGCACAAGCTCCTGCATGTGTGGTGATATTGTGGTGATATTGTGGTGATATTGTAGTGATATTGAGGATTATGCCCAGTTGTCGCAATCTTCTGAAAAACTACTGCTATGGACGATGCCCTACGGCAACCTTCGATAACACCGCTGATATCGAAGGTTGCCGTAGGGCACCTGCGATAACACTAGTTTTTCGCAATATTGGGGAACGGATGAAACGAAACAGGCTTGGTACGAGGGGGTGTGCGGAGGCGATCTCGACGGAGGCATCCACGGGGGTCTGCCGAGAGACAAGTGTGTTGTCACACGAGGCACACTCGGGCCGATATCAGCTCGAGGTGCATGTCCAGCCCTCGAGCTGATATCGGTCCTCTTCCCCCGTGTGACAACGCATACTTGTTGGTTGGGGATGTTATTTCCCAAGAATAATATGGGATCTACCGTTCACCTGCACCTTTTTAGAATAATCAAAGACGGTGAATCGATGCAACTCGTTAAGTTACACATGACAGGCACATGACTTCGATTGCCACAGGGCAGCGAGAAGAAAATGATATGAGAAATCGTGGAATAGACGGGGTGAATGAGCCATCACAAAAGTGCTTTTGGAAGATACTTCAGCAGCGGATGAATGTAACGCAATTGCTCTATAGAGCATTACAAACATCAGAAGAGTATCGTGTGGAGGGCAACGCCAAGAAAAATGAATCATGTCGGCTGCATCAAACTGCCAGGAAAACAGTAGTGAAGCGCAATTGTCGCTGCATCCACTACAGTGGTACCTTCTATATATCGCACCCCAGTGTCACAACGCTTCAAAGTGCGATATATCCGATAGTGCGATGTAGCAAATACTCTCGAAAAAGATACTGTTTAGTTATGTGGAGGCAATGAGGTGGAACTGGGCAGAACTCCTCAGCCGCCGTCGCCATAAGCCAAAGTTGGAGGTACTGTGCGGGTCGCTTGTACAGTACGGCCTCTACTAGGGGCTTCTAGAGCGACACGTGTGTAATGTCATACACGTAGCTGATTTCGTGTCAAGCCCGAAACAGTGCGATATATCCGGTAATGCGCTATTCAAAAGTGCGATATAGAGCTACCCCCCTGTATGGGCAACGTCAGCAGAAAACCAAACCAAGTCCTAGAATAGCGAAAAAGGATTGTTGCCACAATACCACGAAGCCCGTCATTGGCTGATGAGTCCCTCGGTATCAATATTTCATGCACTATGGCATGACTCTGGTCAGTGTTTGTATCAACCGATAGTTCGTTCTGTCCTCACCCACGACGATGCTTTGTCACCCACGTCTACCAACTGTCGTCGCCGGATTGAAGATATTATGACAGAGCTACTGTACCTCCTTTAAGGTTTACACGCGGACGTTGTAGTATATCTCCCTGCGACGCCGTCATGGTCACCTCCTCGGAAAGCGCATATCATACGCAAACCAAATTATCCACTCGCCTATCAAGGGGTGCGGAATGACCATAGAATATGCGCTTTCCGCCAATAACACCAGCTTACAAGGGCCAGCTCGAGTTCGAAGTAGAAAGAACACGGCAACAATGCCAATGCAGGAAGGGAGCCCAGCCGCATTCCCAACGTCTTCCATTGCAGCGCAGCAAAGCCCCTTCTTAATGAAAGTAACTTTGTCTCGGCTGAACGAAGGGGAAGAGACGACTATGTGGGCATTCGAAACTCGTTAGGAAACTAATGGGCGTGAACCAGATGTGCCACGAGCGCATATGCCCCAGGCGTAACATCCCTCCAAGAATGCTGAAGATATTATCATAAAATACCGCAATTATGATGTCGGTGACATCACCGACTGCAGGTAAAGCACCCGCTCGTCAATTCTAGCGAAAACCAACTCGTTGACGCACATAAAGGTGTTCAAAAGAAAAAGTCGACTTACAGCAACTATTTTCTCTAAGCTAATTTTATACCAGTAGCATAAAGACATGTATGCGTGGTCACACGGGGCACACTCGGGCCGATATCAGCTCGAGGGCTGGACATGTGCCTCGAGGCGAAGCCGAGGGCGCATGGGAGGCCCGAGAGGTGACCTGTCTCTCGGCTGACCCCCGAGGAAAGCATACCCAGTAAAATCAAAAACACTACAATTTTAGAGAGTTTATATCACCACACATGCAGGAGCTTGTGCGTTGCGTCTGGCGACATACTGTGAGTCGCGCCGGCACTGTCGCACTGCGCTGATATCGCAGCTTGTCCCCTGCTTGATATTGTGCCACAATTTTGTCAGCCGTGAGACAATCCGTAGAGTGCTTTCTATTCAAGTCAAAACTTCAGAAGAGTTACAAAACGAGTCAACCTCCCAAGGAAAAATAGAAACATTGGACATCAAAGTTGAAAATAATTAAAATTCGCAGAATTTTGTGGCATGTACTGTATGAAGGGTTATTTGGCTCCTGTGCATGAGGGCGTGTCTTAACAGGCTGGTTTTTGCTTTGCCTTGCCCGGTTTTGCCAGGAATACTTTTAAATTCTTAACAAATACCGTATGCTTCTTAAGCCGTTGCTTTTCTTAAACACATAAATTAAAACGTAGGAGCCACTCATAGCACGCCAAGTCACTTCTTTGGGCAAGGCAAAGCAAACCGCAGCAAAACGGGGCATGTTAAGACACACCCTCAGGGTGTGTCTTAACATGCCCCGAGTGGAACAGCTTTTCGGGCTTGCGATTTGACCTTACCGACCGGCAGGCAGGTCCCATGGCTTTGTCATAGTCACAAGGCTACGTCGTAGGCTGATCGAATTTCTCTGAATAAAAGACAAACTACAGTGCGGAGGAAGAGTAAGGTACAGTAACTTTGCAAGGCACAGTTTGTTCGTGTACTGTTTTGAGGTCCTCGAGAATACAGCATACCGACTGTCACAATGCTTCACCTCGGCTTGAATCTGCCCACGTCTCTCTGTGTCCGAATTTGTTTAAACGGCGGGAACCGTGACAGACCAGACCGCTGCTGGTCTCCCTGCTGGTCCGATGAGCAACGCAACGATTTAGAGCGCACCACATGTGTAGAAGGCCTGGACACACACTACTGTACCAACGTGATTTCTTCTGAAGGCGTTCACGGCAAATTCTGCATAAAGGGCGTGACCCTTGATGCTGTCCAAAATTAGGCGGGCGACACACTCCAGCAGACTTCTGCAAATTCCCTGCCTTACTTCTGACCGACTGCCTGCGGTGATCCCCCAAAATCACAACTAGACAGTTATGATGGGAGAATTGGGGATTTCATTTTTTTGCAATTTGGAGTCATTCCTTTGGTTTGATTGCGTTTGGGTGTGCATTGGTGTACTGTAGGGCCACGTTCACATTCTACAGTAGAAGAGTTCGCCAAGGTACTGGACAGTGCATTTAATTCATAGTGACGAAAGGACGCGATGCGATCGGTCGTCATCGCATCAGAACTCGTGGTGCTCGTTGACACGCCAACGAGTGGTAGTTCAGGCCCAATTGAGGAACAAGGGAGGGCAGACGCCCGCTGGAATGCAAGCGCAGAGAAGGGTGGCAGATTGAGAGGAACGGTCGCGGACGCGTGCGGAACAGAAGCAGGGAACGTTCATATGGGAATGGACTGAGGAGTACGCGGGGGGAGGAAGGGGTCACGACACGGACGCGGAGCAGAAAGAAGTCGCTGTGTGGTTGTTGCCTGAGAGCCTGTGTGGCTGGCTGTTATCACTGCTTGCGCATTCTAGGGTACTTCCGTTGTGTGTGTTCGTTGAGAAGGGTGTTGTTCGCGAAGAAGAACTGATAAAGCACCTGATTGTTGTGTAAAACAAGCCTACAGGTGGTACCTGTAACAGGTCCGCAAAACGAGATTTTCTAGAAGCTAGGCATTGAGAGACAGGGTCAAAGGCAACAACAGCAGACTCTAATAACAGAGTTCTGGCCGGGTAGTGGTTCTGCCATCTGATTGTGCCGCTCCGAATTAGTGCCGTATTATTAGTCTTTACATGGGGCGGCACTAATGCGTAGGGTCACTGTATATAAATCGCAATATACCGTATATAGCGACATGACGCTACGCGTCATGTCGCAGTGTTGTACCCTTGGTACTGTACAGGTGTGTTTCGTGTGATATGTGCATTTCTGGCTGTCTTGTTCCAGATTTGGCACGTGTAAAAGAAACCTCAATAAGATCAAACAAAATTCCACAACGTCACCTCCATCCGGGTTAGCTCGCATGTAACACGTAACGTGCCCACACGTTTCAGAGATCTCCTTTTCGCGGCTATACCAATATTCCAGAAGCGCTCCAGCCCTAAACCGATACCGACCGATACTCTAGGTTGGTGGTTTATTACATCTTTATGCTTAGTACAGTACAGTACAGTGCCTCCTACGATATAGTGCTATAGCGTGACATACCTCTAGCTATGGCACTATTGGGGGGATGGCACTATATAAAGGAGGCTCAAATACATATATTTGGGGACAAAGCACACTGCTAACACAAACACAACAAAGCCTGTATAACACAACTAAATAACTTCATCCTTTGAGTACTGAACCATGCCGGATGATACACGTGTGAGCTTATGATAACCTGTGCCAGAGGGTGAGCCATAGCACTATATAGAGGGAAGCACTACTAAAGTAGGCACTATTGAGCGACCCCCCCCCCTGTACTGCTTTGCAGGGGGGCGCACTTTTAGATTGATCTCACTTCAATCAAAGTGTGTCCTCAATAGGGGCATTTCTTCACCCTTTTTGGATCACAACACGACAGAATATGCTGGCCAAGGGGGCAGAGATTAAGAAGGAGGCGCAAGTCCAGCTCTTCCGCCACAGAGAAGAGAGGACCTCGAAAAACACCCGAGAAAAAAAGCTAGAGCCAGGGAAACGTATTGTGGTAAGGAAAAGATACGAGAAGTTGTTGTCAAATCAGAACTCAAGTCCGAAGCTCTACAAGCAGAAATAAATGGAGAAGAGAGGGAACCAAGTACTGTTTTTTTTTCGTTCGTGGGAGAAATCTAGATACGGGCCAGCTTTCTGCTGGAGACAGCATTCATGCTGAACGGCAGACCCGGAGACGGGACATTGGTCTGGCCTCCAGGCAATCAGGCTCTCAGACACAAACGGAAACAAGGTTTAGGGGCTATACCCACCACATATTTCGACAGCTCTTTTGAAATTATCGAAGATTAGAAGCGGTGCAATGGGTTGATTCGAGTTGATTGCAGAAGAAATTTGAAATGGGGGACAAGCACATGGATCGCCCAACACCTCTTGAGTATGTGTTTGTGTCTTATGCCGTCGTACTGACATTATTTTTTTTCAGTAAGCGACAGGGATCTTTAGCCCAGTATACAACTTGCAACATCCACTACATGCAGTGAAGAAATGGTTTCAATAGCAACTAAAATTGGAGAACGCAAGGTCGGACTGATGTAAGCGCAACAACTCGACGAGCTCCGAAGAATGGCCTCTATATCTCTTTTGCCTAAGCGCATATCATGTTGCTTCATCGTTTGTCCTCTCGTGCCACTATCACAGAACGAGTACAGCTGTCCTGTAAATTTGGTACTATAGCGTTGCTGCGAAATGCCAATGAGACAACACTCAAGGTACTGCAAACACAGTCTATAGCATGTCTATGGCCTTTCCACCAATAGCTCGCCACGAAATGTACATTCGAGAAGCAAACTCAATTTTAGAGGCGGTCATTGGAAATAATGACATCATTTCAAGGCTGCAAAACACGCAAACGCTGCAATGGAACGTACTCGACGTTATGGCCAAGCAGTAAAGAGAACACTGCCGTTGTACACATCGAAGAACGAACTTTGAGAATATAGTTTTCATAACCTTTGTAAATAGGATGATCTTGAACTTTAACCACAAGGTACGCACGTGCAAGGCGACCCCTTAAAAACACTTCACAGCTTTTCGGGGAGCACCAGTCCGTTCCGAAAAAGGGAGATGACAATATGCGGCCCTTTTCGATTTTTTTGGAAACCGCTGCGCCCGTCTGTTGACATGGCTATGGTCAAGAATGGTAACGAGCGTCACTTGGGAACATCTGCATCGTACTTACAACAAAGCCGCCCCCTTCCTCAACTGTATATACATCAGGAGCATCGTGATGGGTACGGTCCGTCACAACACTCTCATTCAATCATTTGACTTTCAATAGACTTTCAAGGAAGCATACAAACTTAAAACCAACTTAAATCACTATGGAAAGGTACACTAATTCCCGTAGCCAGAGCTCACACTGTAGCACCTCACGGTCGAGTACCGGTCCGTCCGGGAGAAAGGAGACGCGTCTCTAGAGATAGAAGAGGTCTGGTCGGGTTTATTGTAGGTGAGTTGGGGGGCTACATGTAAGTCGCCGACGGTCCAGTACACGTGTACAGCAGGCACGGGCAACAACACTCACATACCTCTGGAAGAGATTCCAGCAGGTCTTCATCACATAGATCTGAAAGAGAGTCCGATAGATCATCAGGTTATCGACGGGGAGATGTCAAATGTCCTCAATGCAGGACTCGGTTTAGGTCTCAAGTTGATTTAAAATTTCACCACATCACGACTCCCTTCTGCTCAAGGTCTTCACAAGTGGATAACGTTGACGCTATCGCAAGATCTAGAATGGAAAGTCACAGGTCGACTAAAAATCGTTCGGGGCAGGCATCGGGATCGCATCATACAGAGAGCAGAAGAGTGATTGAGAAGAAGAAGAAAAGCCATACACTTGCACACAGTGTCCGTCAAGTTTCAATCACAAGAACAACTTTGTTAGACATATTCGAGAATATCGCGAGGAAGACATGACGTTCAAATGCCCAACTTGTGGGGAAACGTTTAGTCGAAGAACATTTCTTCGGACGCATATCCAAGAAGTCCATGAAGCGGATGTAAGCTACAAGTGCAACTACTGCTCATATACGACAGGGACCCAGCAAAATGTTAGCAGGCACATTCGGTGGAAGCAAAAAAATGCTGGAGGAAAGCGATTTCTCGCAAACGAGAAAGTAGTAGTGTAGTCTTATGAATGGGGTGTCATCTCAGGTCATAAATAAAAACATGTTTATATTTAAAACTCTTGTATTGATGACTCCATCTTCAGCCTTGAAATGATAAGCAGGGTAATGGCGTAGTGGATTGTTTCGTAGAAGCACAGGGGCAGTCGTGACACCTGTTGTGCGAGGTACTTGTAAATTCAGCTGAATGAAGAAACCGCCAATTCAGCGTTGCTGCATGAACTGTTTCCAATTTCCAAAGGAGTAACTGCGATCACCAAAAAATAACTCCATTGCATGTAGAACACATCCTTCTTATCCCCGCTGCCGTACTGGGTGCTGAATGCTGTGAGCGTATCAGATTGTATCGCGCCCCCAATCTTTACGATGGCAGCGACAGCCCTCCACAGAACCCACGCACGCACCCCCCTTCTCTTTCTTCACGGTACCCTTGAAGGGGTACCACTGGGCCGTGGCGCTACCGTCCAGGAGAAGTAGAGTAGCAGCTGTACGGGGGTGCTACAGTACTGTACGCGTCGTGATGTCTTGCATACACACGTGTGACATGGGTCCGGGCCAGCTCGCCACGAAGCCATGTGGACACGTTTCACTATTCCCTTTTTCGCCACTGCGTCTTTACATCTTTTTGTGAAGTACTGTTCTGCGGGAGAAAAACTTTCAGATTCCTCTCATTTGAGTCAAAGAGGGTGCTCAATGGGGTCTTTTCTTCACCCTCTTGGACGAGAACACGACTGGTTATGCTCCACGAAGGGGGCAAAGAGTAAGATGGATTGCGCATGTCCAGCTCTTATGCCCAAGGGAGGAACGGACCTCCAAAGAAGCCCGAGAAAGAAACTAAAGGACAGACAGAATTCTACTGAAGGAAAAGGTCCGACAAGTTTCTTATCATGTCAGAGGTCAACTCTGAAAATCTGCAGGCGAAACTAAAGAGAGAAGAGGAAGAACCCAGATACGGTTGTCTCTTAGTTCGTGGAACAAAGCTACATATGGGCGAGTTGGACACGTAAGAAGAACTCTCAGCCGAACGGCAGAGCAGGACATGTGGCGACGGCATGCCTTCCAGGCATCCAAATGCTCGGATACAAACGGAAACAATGTTGAGGGTGTATTCTCTCCACTCGGCAGCTCTAATAAAATTCCCGGAGATTCAGAGCGATAGGATGGGTGGGATTAGTTAACAGCAAAAAGACTGGGGAGAGGGACACGAGTACTGTACTGTACATGCATGGCCCAAACACCTCCCGAGTGCGTGTTTTTTGACTTTTGCCGTTGTACAGCTATTTCTTTTTTCCAATACACTACAACACTACCCAAGTTCTTACTTGGGTTATGGGCTGGGCTGGCTGGAAGTAAAGATAGACAACGATATCGGGTGGCAAGGCTGCCTTCCTTTTTTATTCGCCATCGCAGTCGGAGACGGTTTTATACTAAAGAGAGAGCTGGTGCCTACGTCTCACAGTGGAGTTCAGCACCATGACAATCTTACATAGAACAGCTCATTCGTCAAGATCAAATACTGTAGGACAATAGATTGCGCAGAGCAACAATACAAAAACATAACAAAGATAGTTCAGCCGAAGTCAGTCTACATACAGTTCATCAGTCGCTGTTACTGCTGTACTTGATCACACTTGGCATAACACTGTGCCATGCACAGAGTGTATCATCAGCAGAGGCCGTCGTCATGAGAGCATCCTCGATACACATCAACATTCTTTAGCCCAAGTGCAACTTGCAACATCTACTGCATGCAGTGAAGACAAAGACACGCTTCCAATATCAGTCATACTCGGTCAACATGAAGACGGACTGATGTAAGCGCAACAACTCGAACCGAAGCACAGTTTAAAACGTTATAATTTTAAGACATCAACAGTAGAGATGCGTGAATCGACTTACGACAGTAGAGACATGCCAACAAGTTACTCATAACGACGAGAACCCTTGGGCAAGTAGCTCGCAATCCTATCTGCCCCATCATAGAACAAGGACCCGAGCGGCTCGACAACTCCCGCATACTTCGTCAGCAGTCGCACGGGTGCGAGCAACCCGTGCGCAATGGTCGGATTCAAAGCCCTCGAGTACCCGGACACCACCACCCCGTCCACTTCCAAGTCCCCGTGCAAGGTGTGTGGCGCGAACAGACCCTTGCCATGCACGCGACCGACTCTCACGACTTGCGAGTTGCCGGCCCTAGTGTCAAGCATGTCACCGATCTGTACGGCACCAGCCGCGGTCAGCTTGCCGTTGGCATACAAGTAATGGCTCCCCGTCAGCGTCACGCTGTGTCCGGAGGCTGTCGTCAGAGCGTAAAACAGCGTTCTGCGGACCCTGTTCTTGTGAGTGAAGGCAAAGATGCGAGACGTCTTGCCCTCACGACCGACGTGGATTTCGGTACCAGCTTCAAGCAGGTGCATCGGTACAGAGGAACCGTCCGCAAGGCGAATCGTCGCAGATTCGGGGAAGCAAACGCCGTCATCGTCATCGTCTTCATCGGGCGAAGCTTCGGCTTCCGGAGATATATTCGGCGAGGCTTCGGCTTCCGGAGATATGCTCGGTGATGCGGCTGATGCCAAATTGCCCAAGTTGAACGGGAGAAGAACAGAGTCGACGACATGCACCCAACCGTTTTGCAAGAATATGTTTGGGGTTGAGATCGCCGCATCATCCCTGGAGTCATCGCCGTCAGTAACCTTTCCATCAGCGACTGAGATGCTGTCTCCTTGTAGAGTGGTAAGGGTGTCGCTCTTCTCAAGCTCTTGAATTGGGGAAGCCTCGCCGAGAGTATGGTACAGAAGAATAGACTCAATTGTGGCGCCCCCAGCGGCTTCGACGTCAGCTAGTGGTGCGATCGCGGTCACGAGGGCTTCGACTACAGCATCCTTGTCAGACGCTTCTAAATTTGCGTCCGGTGCGAGCGTATTCGCTAAGTTCGTGAAAGCCTCGTCCGTCGGAGCAAAAACAGTCAGCCTGCTCCCAGGGTTACCCAGCACCTCGACAAGCGAGTCCACGGTGCCGACGGCACGACCAAGAATACCAAACTGTTCCGGGTCCGATTGCACAAGTCCTAAAATGGTCGGGCGCGGGTCTGGAATTGTCGCGTCCGGCACATCCTCGGCCTCCGAGATATCGATGGGCTGCCCCTCCTCCGGCATTTCCGGCTCGGAAGGATTCACGACGGCGCCAAGGTCGAACGGAAGCAGCACCGAGTCGATGACATGCACCCATCCGTTCTGCGTAAAGATGTTGCGCGGATCGACCACGGCATCCTCACGCGAAGGATCGTCGTCCGTCACAGAGCCACTGTTGAAAGAAAGCACGCCGCCCTGTAGAGTTTTGGCCGTTTTCATCTCTTCCAGTTTCCCGAGCGGAGCGGCCATACCCAGTGCATGGTACAGAAGAATAGACTCAATTGTGGCGCCCCCAGCGGCTTCGACGTCAGCTAGTGGTGCGATCGCGGTCACGAGGGCTTCGACTACAGCATCCTTGTCAGACGCTTCTAAATTTGCGTCCGGTACGAGCGTATTCGCCAAGTTTGTGAAAGCCTCGTCCGTCGGAGCAAAAACAGTCAGCCTGCTCCCAGGGTTACCCAGCACCTCGACAAGCGAGTCCACGGTGCCGACGGCACGACCAAGAATACCAAACTGTTCCGGGTCCGATTGCACAAGTCCTAAAATAGTCGGGCGCGGGTCCGGAATTGTCGCGTCTGGCACATCCTCGGCCTCCGAGATATCGATGGGCTGCCCCTCCTCCGGCATTTCCGGCTCGGAAGGACCCAAGACGGCGTCTAGATCGAACGGAAGCAGCACCAAGTCGATGACATGCACCCATCCGTTCTGCGGGAAGAAGTTGCGCGGGTCAGCAACAGGGTTCTCCCGCGACTCGTCGGCGTCGATGACAAGGCCGTCCGCGAACCTGAGCGCGTCTCCCTGCACTGTCTCCGCGCTACTCATGTCTTCTAACTCCTGGAAAGGCGCAGCAAAGGGGAGCGCATGATAGCCGAGGATGGACTCGATGGTGGAGTTTGCCGCGGCCTCGACGTCGGCGAGTGGCGCGATGGCCGACACCAGCGCTTCCACGACGGCGTCCTTATCCGCGGGGTTCAAGTCCGCGCCTGGTACGAGCTGGTTCGCCAGCGCGGTAAAAGCCTCGTCCGTCGGCGCGAAGACAGTGAACCTACTGTTAGGGTCGTCCAGCGCCTTCACGAGCGAATCGACGGTACCGACGGCGCGTGCAAGAATCCCAAACGAGTCCGGCCGGGACTCAACAAACCCCAGAATGGTGGGTCGCGGGTCCAGCAAAATGGCGTCGGGCACATCTTCTGCCTCCTCGATGGGGATGGGGTCGGGGCCGTCCGGGGTGAGCGGGGCAAGCGCGGTTTCTAGGTTGAACGGCAGCAAGACAGTGTCGATGACGTGCACCCAGCCATTCTGCGTGAACACATTGCGCGGGTCGGGGCGCGGGTTCCTCCGGCTGGGGTCGCGGTCAACCACGCGCCCATCGCGGAAGCGGAGCAAGGTGCCCTGCACCGTCTCTGCCGTGCCGTCATTCTCCAGCTCCTGGAAGGGTGCCGCGAACGCGAGCAGGTGGTATGAGAGGATGGTGGTGAGAACTTCCCCCGGGCTGCGGCCCGGAAGCGGGCCAGGTAAGGCGCCCATCAGGGCGAAGAGGATGCCTTCCGGATCCGCGGCGTCGACGCCCGCGCCCGGGGAGAGCTTGTTGGTGAGGGCGGCGAAGGCGGCGTTCGTCGGGGCGAAGACGGTGAGCCTGCGGTTGGGGTCGCCGAGCGCTTCCGTCAGGTCAGGCACGGCGAGGGCCGCGAGGGCGAGCACGCTGAACTGGTCAGGGTCAGACGCCAAGAGGCCGAGGATGGTCGGGCGCGGGTCCGGTACGACGGCATCGGGCACGTCGTCCGCGGCGGAGGGCGGGAGGGGGCCGTCCTGGGCGGCGGCCGCCGCGAGCAGTGCGAGGAGGAGGATGATGATCGGGCGGAGCGTCATGATGGGGCGGGGTGTGCGACTGTGGAGGTGGAGGATGAACGGGGGGGGGGGGGGCGAGCGATACATATAGGGACGGGAAAGGGCGGCAAGGAAAGGCGGTGATTTGGACGCGGCGGATTGGGCGCGAAATCGGGGAGATGGGCCGGGGGAAGGACGGGCTTGTCCCGGACGAGAAAGGTGTGGGGGCGAGAGCGGCTGAATGCCGCGCGACGGAGATACAGCGACGGAGATACAGTACCCAAGGGTAGAATTTTGGGAGAGGGGTTGCCGAGGGGTTTTTGTGGCGGAGACGTGAATTGGGGAGGTGGCTGTATTTTTTTGAACATCACATACACGCGATGTTTCTCCCTGTACAGTACAGTACGCCAACGAATCATCGCGGAGCGTTGCGACGCCACTCGTTATCTCGCGACCCGAGATCCGACGGCTGCAGATCCGCCGAGGGGATGCGTGCCGTGCATGTAGACAATAACTCTTTCCTTTTTTCACGCTTCCGCCACGTGCTGTAAGACGAATTGCTGTTAAACCAAAGGCTCCCCCTGTCGCACAGCCGGATAACGCCGCCACTTTTTTTTTATTCATCAGTCAGACTAACTGTAACGAAGCTATCCCCCTCGAACGACTCCAAGCCCCTAATGTACACGGACGAAAATGTCGATTCCATCGTCGAGGTGAAGAGTGATGGCAGCAGGCTATCAAATTGCTTCGCCCTTTGCCAGTCATACACACCGTTATTGTTCTCCCCCATGTCCTGCAACGCCGAGTTCAAGACCTCTCTAAACTTCTCATAGCAGGGCTCTTCGTCGTGCTCCATGGACCGGATGATGTTGAAAAACCTGCTCAACGCCGTCGGCATGTCTCGATACTCCTCCGAGTCCCAAAATGACCTCTTAATCTGCTCCACCTCTGCAACGTTCTCGTTGTCGTACGCAAAAAACTCCCACGGAAGCGTGCCCTGATTCAGGAACAGCAGCGAGAACCCGAGCGATTCCAGGTCGTCGCGTCGCGTCACCTCCACGCTGCCGTACAGACCCGTGGGCGCAAACATGAGTGTACCGACCACCCCGTCTGCCAGGTTCGACTTTTCAGCCCGAAACGGCTCATCCTGCAAGCGATATGGCCGTGCCAGTCCCATGTCGACCATATAGACAGTCGACGTGTCCTTCCCGAACCCAGTCACCAGATTCTCGGGCTTCACATCACAGTGCAAGAAGTTGCTCTTGTGCATATGCTCCAGTCGGTCCAGTACTTGGAGACCAACCATCAGCGTAGTTTTCAGTGAAAGGCCCCCATGCCTTCGGAAGTGATCCAGCAACGAATGTCCGAGCTGGTCCATCACGAGCAATTCCATTCCCTTTTCGTTTCCTTGGTAGTGCACGTCGGGAAACCCACGAGCATCTGGAAAATTTTCTCGCACAGCCTTGTACACATCACTTTCCTGCCGGAGTAGCTGACCATTCCCCTTGTCAATTTTGATGGCAAGCGGTTTCTCGGTCAACGAATCATACCCAGCATACACCATTCCGCATCCGCCTTCCCCTAATTTTTCCTTTTCCACTACGTATCGATCCTCTAAAACGAGAACGGGTGTGTCTTCTGAGAAAAGTTGCTCCCCATTGAGTCCGATCGCTGCCTTTTCATATGAAGGGAGACGCCATTCGCCCGACACACTTTCACGACTGTACCGAGCAGAGCAGCATGTAGTTGTGACAGCGGCGCCCTTTTTAGGCTGGGTGTTTGTTTCTTTGCCATGCAGTTCCAGGTTTTGGCGTCGAGATGTATCTACGACCCCTCCATCTTGACAGTAAATTGTATTTACCATTTCTGTAGACTCTTCCTGACTGTCAAGAAAAATATATCTCATTTTTGAAGTCGAAGGTTTGTACGTGATTACACAAATAAGGAATTCTTGGCTACTGCACCAGGAAAATGAACAATGTCCGGACGCTTGGAAGAGCTGAAAATAAAATGATGGTGGTGGTGGAACTTCAACTCGGGCCACACAAGACATCTCTACTTATACGAAAGCAACGTTTGCGGTCTCTGTACAAGCGAAAGAGTCCTCTTAAATTAGTGTATTGTACCATGTAAGCGGACAGGTCCTTTAAAGCTTTCTGCAGGCCGTGTGCGGACGTTTTGAATGTAGCAAGCATTGAAAAACGGCCTGTCCGTCTGAAAATGCAACACAGACGCCCGCAACGGTCATGAACTCGTTCTGCCGAGTGAAGGCAGAGGTACAACATCAGGAGGAAGGGCTTGCAGGGGTGCTTTTTCGAACGGAGGGGACTTTCTTGTTGCGAAGCACCACATTGATGGGAATTCGACAGAATCTCTCTGAGGGCATGCAGCCACTTTTTCTTTTGTCATTTTCTGGCTTCCTGGGCAATGAGAATCTCTAAAAACACAACCGCTGGATAATCGAGAAGAGAGCAGCCCTCAGCAGCATGTGCCTCTAAACTGTTTAGGCTTGCCGAACAAACAAACTAGTTTGATGACAGAGAAGTCGAATCAAATTCATTACTCACTCTCTTCCTAGAATCTGCAGGGGCAACTAGATGAACTACCATATGCGACCCAAGCAGAAACTTTGGTTGCCGAGGTGGTCTATGAACAGCGGCAGCCCCATTGGAAGATAATCACGCTTTCAGGGTGCAGCTGACTTCATGTCGCCAGCAACCCAACCTCCCCACAACACGCATCACTCCTACTCTAGCCTGCAGACCATCCTATCACCACTCAGTCCTCCTCCTCTCCTCTATGAAAACTGCCAACCCGACCCCGCCCTCCCAGACCACCCTGGGCGTGTCCGCAAACCTAGTACAATTCCTCACCCCGTCCTCCGCGCACGCTAACTTCACCCGAAGCCTTCTCCAAATCTCCGCTACACCAGCGTTTCCTCATAGTCCGCGAGGAACTGCCCCGCACTGTTAAGCTGCCCCACACCGAACGGCGCGAACATCCACGCCCTGACGCGCCGCGCCCGCCCCTCATCCATCCACCGTCTCGGCCAGAACTCTTCCGCCCTCTCTATCAATCATAAGTTGTACAAGTGTGCAATAGCAATGCAACTGCTGAATCAACTGTAGTGGTGAGTGCAATAATTGCCTGCCAAATGCATTCTAAGTCAGCTTAGCACCGCCGTCGCTCCTTCCCTCAGTAAACACGACTAAGGTCTTGAGTCTCTCCTACACTAATTCAGCTTTCAGACGTGCTCTTGTATGTGAGATTGAGAAATCGAATGCACTCTCTGCAAAAGAAAGTAGCGCCGATCGACAATAGATTCACATCCTCTGTCCTTTATTATACTCTTACATGAAACCTTAGCACTGTACTTCAGCTGGATTCCCTCGCGCCGCTTTATTGAGGGAGGGCCTACGCACAGCACTATCTCCGCATCAGATAAAAGCAAAACCAAGGCGCCCGCCTACTCAGAGGCGCCACCTCGTAGCCTCCCAGCACTCAGAAGATATATTGTGATCCAATGACCAACGTGGGTTCGGTACCCATGGAGAGCAGTCCCAGCCTGCGAACTGTACACCGCTGCCCCTCCAACTAAATACTCTCTGACCTGTCTTCGCTTCTCCTCGCCGCGCGCACCATCGCAAACACCCCCGTCCCCCTCTCCACGCTAGTCCCGCTGCCGAGCAGCACCAAGTCCTCGCACCCCACCCACATCAGCTGGGGCCTCGCGGGGTGCAACCGCGTCGTCCCCGTTCACACCGCCCGCGCGTACCGCAGCCGCCTCACCTGCTCTTCCGTCAGCATCTGCTCTCGTGCCCCATCCCTCACCTCGCGCCGCAGCTCGGCGACGATGCCGCCCGCCACTGCCCCTGATCCAGTATCGCAGGGATGCTGGAAGGGAGCTCGCGGTAGACTAACAGCCTGCACTTCCACGCCGGTGGGGCAGATCAGCGTCAATTGCGAGCGGGAAGTCCTTCCGGTCTGGAAGGGCGCTGGAAGCTAAGCTTCCAGTTTGAAATCTTTACTGTCGGTTGTATCTGCGTTTTTTCTGTAGTGTCTGTTGTGCCTCCTCTCTGGTGGAGCTACAATTCTATTATTAAGTACGGGTCTGAGTGTAAGGTTTGTGCTCATGGTGAGGGGAGTCCTCCTTACATTATGCAGTAGTCACCTGTCCCGTTCTGATGCAATCCGGAGTTGCACGTCTTTCTTGGTTTCTTGCTACAATGGTGACTACCTCCTCTCCTGCAGTATTACCTCATCTTTCTTGATTCCGCAGGTACAGTAACTACCTCTCTCTTACAGTATTACCTCATCTTTCTTGATTCCGCATAAATGATTCAGATATCTTAACACTTCCCCTCCCCCCTTTTTTTAAGGAATCAACTTGTTATCCTCGTCGAGCTCACTACGTGTTGCTCAATGGGATGATTGATTTTGTTGGTTTGAAGTAATGTCGTAAGGGCACTGTTTGCACCTATTTTGGTAAGGGCATCCGCGGGATTGTGTATACTCTTGATGAGACCGATGTTTGAAATAATCATTGCGTCGTATGCCTCTCTTGTAGATGCAATATCTGCCATGATCCGCTTTTCAGTTGTGTACTTCTTTCTCGTGAGAACATCGAAAAGTATTTTCGAATCTGTCAACATGAGCAATGCTAATGGTCTCCCCATGATTCTTTGTAAGTCATGCCTGATAATGAAGGAATTGTCAAATCCATCCGCGAAAGCCAGAGCTTCAGCTGCCATGCTCGATCTTGCAACACGCTTGGACTTGTGAGAGGAATAGTGTATAATACAGCAGTGGTTGAACTTGTCTGCTAAAAGTATTATGAAACCCAGCTGACTACTGTAGTCATGATTGTTTTGAAAGGAGGAGTCGGTGTACGTCACAATGAAGAGTGAGTTAAAGTCAAGCTTGGTGTATGAGAGCTTAATGTGTGGCGTTTTGTGAAGGTGTGCTACAATTTTGTTAATTAAAATGCGAGATTCCTTAGAGAAAAGACTTTCCGTTACCTGGGTCGCCATGGAAACCGCACA